TGCCACGAGAGACTCTGTATACCACCTGCCGAGCTTGAGTGTGTGGTCTAGGATCGCAAACACTGGAAGATGCTCCTCCGCCTGTTCGAGCCAAGACCCATTAAGTTGGGATAGGCAGTTTTGAAAATATTTGTATATGTACGCCTTGTGTGAATGTTGTGATTGCAATTCACGATTCCTGGATCTTGTTTCACACTACATCCTTGTGCAGTTTGTACCATGTACGATTCCCTCCAGTGGAATCAAATCATGTTTGCAAACACTTTCCAGACGTGTCTCGTGCAAAATCCAAAATATGCAAGGTGTTGAGTGTGTAGGCGGATGAGGTAGAGCCAACTTTTTCGTGCCTTCGACTCAACCCTAATAAGGGGACCGTAAGCACAACGTTGTTCAAAAGGAAACCTCTCATGCGGGAAACACATTCGCCGCTGGCATGCTTGTGATGGGTCAACATCGGCATGAAAATATAGAATGAGTGTTCATTCTATATTTTTGGAGATTGTAGGGCCTGGAAGGAGAAGTAAACTCCCCTTGACGGGTTCCCAGTCAACCGTGGTCTCTGCTTCTATCCTCAAGATGACGATGCAAGCGGCTATAATTCTTGTCTCTGGATGTTCTTCTATGCCCCAATTCATGTTTCCCCCGCTGCTGCCAACTTGTACGTAATTCTCCCAAGCAAGCAAGTTGGTGCTAATGAACATACTGGAGCAAATAGCGACGAGAGTGGACTCGATTTTCATTGGGGGCACAAGCAGGGTTAGGATCCAAGATTATAGGATCGATCACTTCGATCATTTCACGTCAGCTTAGCGGAATGTGTCTGGATTTCAACAGACGACCTAATATGGGCTTGATCGACTTGAAACGAGTCTTCAACAGCGTCCGTAAGGGCGGCCTCTTTTGCATCGCAATTATAAGGCTCCTCGGAGCGGATCCTGTCTCTGATATTGTAGAAGCACCGTATGGCATCCGAAGTGCAGTAAGGGTGAATAATTCGGCTGTTTCTGCACTTGCTAGATGTGATGCCGGAGACGGAGATGGAGATGGACTTGACGCTAGGTAATCGTGATGTCGGGATCAACCTGGGGGCGTGAAGGCACCGAATCTCCGCGTTTCGCTCTTCTCAACAGCCTACTTGTGGATGATGAGGAGCTAGAAGTGCCTAGTGAAGTTGTTCTTTGAACGAATGGGGACCCCGGGTCGAGGAGCAGCGTCGAGAAAGCGATTACTGGAGACGTCAAGGACAGCACAAAACACGAGAATCGCACTCTCAGATGGACAAGGACTGAAACGAGTTTTAAAAAAATTCGTGTACCGTCATCACCATCGTCACCACCGTATTCGTCATCACCGTCATGGAAAACGGAGAATGCACAGAGGATGCCAACTGGCATAGTTTTCGACCATGTGTATGGCAGTAAGATCTGGAAGTCAGAGAAAGTCAGAATTAATCTCAAAGGGCTGATACTCGTATGAATGCCTTGTACTCCACTGCATATAGTCTCGTGCGGCAGTGAGATTGGACATAAAAAGACGTCGAGTCACAGCCATACGCGTTCGAGATGATCTGCCTACGGAAAAAAACAGCATAAAATCTAGTTAATATTTGTGCTGTACAGCAACCTGGATGCAACAACTAAATGCTTCACTGAAATATCCTACGCAGCACGTCCAGCTGCAGCATTGCAAACCAGCGATTCATCAAGAAAACTGCTGTACAACATTTGACTGCGGCATGCTGTCCGGCTTAAAATCTGTGCAGTACAGTTTCCTAGATTGAATAGAAACTAGGGCTGTCACGATAGCAGTTTTCAAAACATCGATGCATCGACCTGAACTATCGATAGTTTATCGATGCATCGGGGGGGGGGGAGAATTCAATCTTTTCTCGCCGCGATTGGGTGGAGGTTTGTCTTCCATCGTTTCTTGGCTCGATCGGAGCGCGGACCTCTATCCGTCATCCATAATCTCACGCTTATGATCGTGGGGTGCGGGGGGAATGTGTGACCTTCACAAGGAGTAATGAAACCTACCATGCCCCCAATTATCGAAGATTACATCCATTCATTGATGGATGCATCAGGACAGCCCTAATTTTTTCTTATTGCCGTTTAGAATCAGTTGCCAAGCCCGTTCACGTAATTTTTTCCCCCTATTTTTCTTACTTCTTCTTTGGACATCGGCACCGGCAGATAGCAAACCTGGCGATGGTGTCAAACCCGCGGTTGCGAAAACATCGGTACAGCCGATAATAAGCAACGTCCATGTAAAAAAATTCACTTTGAGTTCACCTTATGTAAAGAGATAAAATTCCCCAAGGCAAGTTAAACATTTAAAAAAGTTAAGCTTGTATACTAAAGAGAAAGACGGAATATATAGAGAGGATTAACCAATGAACGTTTCGAAATCAAGGGAGTATAAGAACAGTCCACTTTCGCAGCATGAACCTGATGAGATCGAGCCGAAGCTGAAACAGGAAAAAAAAAAAACAACCTAGGTCTTCTCTCCCTCTCCAAACCCATGGGCGTCACGCCGCCTCTTCCTTTCCCCCGCCCGGACGGACTGTATTTGCCTCAATCCAATGGGACATTTCCCCTTTAAAATCTTTTGCCGATACATCGCAATGGTCGTAAAACTATCGATGCCTCCAACCATCGATAGTGGTAACGATGCATCGATCTATCGTGACAGCCCTAACAGAAACCATTTCTATTTTTGAGATTGCAGTGGAACATACAGTACAGCAGAATTAGAGGAGTTTTGGTGCTACGTGATTCGATGGTACGAAGTTTTGAGGCTGTTTTCGGTTCAAAAAAACTTTTTATTCTTCAAGAAACTGTCCCGTGATTCGATCTTACCAGTGGCGTAGCGAGGGAGAGGGGGGGGGGGGTAGGTCTTTAGCCCCCACAACACTGGTGGAAATGTATCCACCATACCCCCCAGGAGAAGTTTGGGAAAGTCTAGGCCCCCCTCAGTTCCCTCTAGCCTGGCAAGAGATTCTGGCTACGTCACTGGATCTTACATGATTTGATGCTACATCATATCCGGCTCCAGATCAAATTTGAACCTACGTGATTTTGTGCTCCACGTTTTCTACGCTACGTGTTTTAGCCAAACGGAGCGCCAGTTTTGGTCATACGTTTTTTTGGCGCTTCGAGATTTGGTGCTACGTGGCACTCCCCGGTAGAGCAAGAGTATGAACTTGCTCTAAGGATCATATTGGTACATGCACATGCCGACTATCCAGATCCACTTCGCACGCTATCATGAGACACCAAATGAGGGTGGGAGGGAAGTAGGACCTGCACGATCCCTGTTTTCCAGCGATATTGCTCATCTGGAGCAATATCGCTTCCATTCACCGCTCCGCGCCTTCGCAAACCGGTTGTTTCCCTACTCTTTCTCATTTTCTGGGAATCACATTCCAGTAGCAATCGATTCCATATTCAATCTGATCAATTCCATATCCCCACATTGCAAAGAGTGAGGGGTGTCCTCAAGGGAGGAAGGCTGTCAGAAAGTAGGAGAAAATACATGGAACAGCATGGAAAGAATATCCATATTTTCAGCTTTGACGATAATTGATGATAGTATTTTAATGCCATTAGATTCAGGTCGTCAAAAAAAGTCAGATCTGCGCAGCAAAATAAGAAGGCAGAAGGGAGAAAAGGGGAATATCTAACACTATGGTCCATGTCACGCTGGTGATAAATGTCATTGTTATAATGTCTTCTCTTGCTATTCTGCATAGTAGTGTCTCATGGTATAACTTCTTCGCTGCTTGAATGCTGATCTTTCGACGTGTTATATCTGTGTTGGATATCACAGATCGATGTCACATTGTAGAGATAATGGTTTGGATCACATTCTTTGTCCCAAATACGCAGGGCTGCTGCTTGAAATTGCTGTCACCCTGGTTTCCTACAGCTGTGGGGCTATCATCTTTGGCATCGACGAACCGACGTGAGGAAGTGTGAAAATGGTCCTAGCACTGGTAGGGCAGCCACCCGTTCATAATTAGTATGGACAGTACATATTTCAGATGCAATGTCCATACTGCAAACTGGTCCTAATATGGATACTGCTTTGTCCATATTTTAAACTTACTATTTTATTACTCAATAAAGCTTAATAGCTGCTAATATTGTTATTTTCCGTAAGTCAAAAGCAGTAGGCCACACTCATAGTATCGATTGGCGCCTTGGCTTAAGGTGGCTGAGGGCATATTTAGAATATTTGTCCATATTTTCTTAAATTCAAAGGTGGCAACCCTTATCACTGGACACTAGGCCCTACAATGCAATGCTCCCCGGGTGGCTGTATTCTTTCATTGGAGCTGACACTTTTCAAATGACTCCACCGCCAGTCTGTGATACCCCCATGCATGTAGGAGCATGTGAAAAGGAGTCGAACTAGAAAGAATTGAGCTGTAGATATGTTGTAAGTTCCAGTGGCGTATTTTACAAGGGGGCAGGGGGGCAGCCGCCCCCCCTGGCGCCCATAGGACCGAGCATGGCGCCCCCTTGGAGGCAATAATTTTCTCACCTGATATCACTCGGGTGGGGTTTGGCGCCCCTACTCTGTTGCTTTGCCCTCTCTGACCCTTCAGCCAAAATACGCCACTGGTTGTAACTGTTCACTGTTGCCTTTCTTTCAGTTTGGCAGTCGTGAAAAAAAGAATATTTCGCACGGGGCTAAAGGGATAAGAGGTCACAAAACGGGGATATAGATTTGCCGGACGACGGCATATGAGAATACTTCGACCCGCGGAGGAACTCTAGTGGGGATCTGTGTCATTGTCCTTAGAATATCAGGACCGTGCTGGTGTCTAATGAAAGCTTCGCTGTTCCTCCACTAGATGTCGTAAAATAAATTTTCCTCTCTCCGCCATCATGCCTGGCTTCAGCGAGAAGGTGCGGCACTCTCCTCGTCAAAGTTTTTCACTTATTCTTCGCTTTACGACAAAATTTGCTTATAATTCTAGGGTCTTTATTAACATGATGTTGGTTCTTTTTCAGCCGATCGTTATCGATGGAGCCGGCCACCTCCTCGGCCGGCTGGCTGCTGTCGTGGCAAAACAGCTCCTTCAAGGGCAGAAAATCGTGGTTGTGCGATGTGAAAATATGAATATCTCCGGGAACTTCTTCAGGTCTGCTTCATATTCCTTATTCGGAAATATTGTTAAGCTTCTGGCCCTTCCCCCAAGGATTTTGATAGCCTTGAGCCGAGTCCTTTTTCGTAGACAAAGTTAACGGTACGACTAAGTAGTTCAGTGCTAATCGTTCATACTTTTTTAGTTTGTCTCCATGGAATTTTACCAGGAGTCGTTGAATTATTTCAAACCATTATCTCCCAAGTTTCCTAATTATTGGCTGCCTCATTAATGATTTGCTTTAAGTGACCCATATACCCCGATATATAGGACCTAGTGTGCTTCTAGCTGCTAGTTGAAATTGTCATTTCTTTGTCATTTATTATTAAATCTTATAATGAGGTATTCATATGGGCCTATTCTGCTTACAGTTGCCCATTGGACACAGTTAACCGTATGCAGTGCGTAGGGCTGCTCAGGTGACTGTACCCCCTAGGGATATTGTGTTTCTCCTTAAGTTAGGCCAGGTTAGGTTAGGGGGCTGGGTGTGGTGTGTATTATATGTAATTGGAATCCCAATCAATTTAGATTCCAGGTGACTACTTGCGCTCAATTAACCGGACGCATTTGGTTAACTTCAAGTGGAACAGGCCTATCACCTATTTGATATTCATATTCAGTTTCCTCCAATTAGTGTGTACTCCATTCACATTACTCTCAAGTGCTGAATTCATTTTCTGTACACTGCCCTCTTGGTACAGATAGTAAATGTTGAGATGACCTCAGCCAAACACATTAGACCATATTTCTGAGCAGTATGGGAGTACTTAATGCCTGGTTCCAATTTGTTGAATAATGTGTTTCTTATATGTTGGATGTGTGGATGTCTGGTTAGCTGATCTCTATATATATAACTTTTAGGTTGAACTGTGATTTGTAGAAGTCATGGGAGAGGATTTAATTTGATTAGGGAACTTTAACATGTCAATGTTTTTTGGTGCAGCTGGTCTGTCTTTATTCACTTAAAAGTACAGTGAAAACTCATTAATGTCAATCTATCGCTCTCACTCCAAGCCATTCTGTCCCCTATGTCCCTTAACGTGAGTTTTTTTGGGAGGGGGTGATTCCTGATAACTTGGTCCCTAAAAGTTTGAGTTAGTGAGTTTTCACTGTATATCTTAAGATTTTTATGTAATTCATGATTCACATGTTTTAGAGCAGCAATTCTCAGCCTGTACGCCATGGCACCTAGGGGTGTTGTGAAAGGCTGACAAAGGTGCTGTGGAGAGCCCAAATTAATTTTTACTTTTTATGGGAAATTTTTTTTGAAAAGTACTAAAAATGTACTATGTAAAAAAAAGTACAAGTACTTTGGTGCCCAACTGAGTAATTGAGCTTGAAAGACTTTAAAACTTATTTTGGCCTTTCACCATGGGGGGTGGTGGTTGAGATGGGACAAGATCAGAAGGCTTCAATACTAGAATCATGGGTGTAATTGAGGCACAATTGATGGATTGGGTAGCAAAATTTAGAAGAACTTCTTTCAAGTCATGACACTTCTTACTTTGGCCCTTGCTCTTAAAATTTCATGGCTTGAGTACGCAAAATAATTTCAAGGGTATCTAGTGAGGAGGAATACCAAGATTGTTGCTGCAATAAAGATTTTGATTGCTTTTTGCCACCATGTCTCTTTCCTCTCTTACCAAGTATATAAAAAATAAAACATCTTCAGGTCTTGTCCAAACAGTACAAATGATGTGTGGGGTCATGGATGGATTGGCATGTGTGGGTGAAACGTTGAGCTTTATCTGGATATTCTGGAAAATCAGAGCAGATGCAGGTATCACATTGAAGTTTATAGAAGCCTGTGGATGTATATGGATGCTGCCAACATCTTTCATCTGAAAAGGTTGAGAACCTTCTACTTCAGAGGGAAACTGATAGTTTCACCTGCTTTCTGGAAGTCTTGTAGCAAGCAGCAATTCATGATGGTATCCATAGGTCAAATCATGTCAGTCTAACTTGGACTTAAGTTCTGTGGTTAGCCCGAAAGGATGTTTTTCAATTGACAAGATGTCCATATGCCTAAGGAAGTTCATGTTTTTTTTGGCACCTCATGGGTCTGTCACCCAGGGAGGATCCTTTAGAGGGGAGGTTTGCAAGGGTTGATTTGCGAACTAAACTCAATCTGAATGCAATAGGGTTGTCTTATTGTGATAAGGTATAGACAAACCTGCATTGACCTTGTGCTAATTAATGGACTTTTCAAATGACAGATGCTATTTTTTATGCAGGAATAAACTGAAATATTTGGCTTTCCTGAGGAAGAGATGCAATGTGAATCCTGCCAGGGGGCCATTCCACTTTCGAGCGCCCTCCATGATCTTCCGAAGAACAGTGAGAGGTGAGACATAACATAGTGCAGAGTACAGAAATCAGGATTTAAGGTTCACTGCAAAATCTCTGTTTCTGTGATCTGTCTCAACAATCTGATTCCACATGGGTTCTGTGCACCTTTTCCTCTGCTGTACCTGCATTTCTCCTTGAGGCATCTTCCCTTGCCCTGATTTGCATTGACATGCCAAAGCAGGGTATTTAGGTACTTTTTGAGTTTGCTTTTTTGGAGTTAAATCATGCACCATCTGACTCGTTATTGGTATATTTGGTTTCCTTTGCCAATTCTTTTTGGTGCATTGGTTGGTATTCCTAAATTTAGGGTTGGAATCAGTTAATAATATGAACTAGTTGAAGTCTCATCTGATATCTACATACATGTCTTAACTCACCATGGAACCTACCACATTTGCACCCTGTTAGCAGTACAATTTAGGATATAAGTAGGACACCATAGAGAGTAAGTATGGAAATCATTCACATAATTTGTGATTGCTTTTTTTTGTACATATAGCTGTTCAAGTCAAAATTGACTAAAGTTTCATATGATTTGAAGAAAGTAAATTAAACTAGCAAAGACACTTAAATCAGTTGTATTGGATTTTTAGCATTAAAGCCATTTATTAGATATCCCTTTCACACATGGTGTCCACTATGGTGGACATGACAACATTTTTGGCGAGGATGATGATTTTTTAGCCATGATACACATCTCAAAACTTTTGGTATATGAAGTTAACTCAAGTGCATGTAATCTCTTCAGTGTTGTTTTCTGGTGGTGAAATATGGGACTACTACAGCAGAGTACCTCCTTAAACGTTAAACCAAAAAGGCATATTTTTCTTTTGCTTGAAAAATTCATACGTGAAAGGGATATTTTAGTATCAATGTAATCATTGCAATAAATATTGTAAATGGCCAGTACCTGTGAAAAATATCAATTTCCAAAAAATCAAAATCATTAACACTAAACTTTTTCAGAGGATGAAGGACTCTTTTCTCATTTGTTGCTTGAAATTTTGTCGCAATCATAGTGTATTCTACATCTTTAGAATTTTTTTATAGTTTCTTTTAATTCAATTTATAGTGTGATTTAAAAAAAAGGCTCCATTTTCTGAGAGAAGTACAGTTTCATAAATGCAAATAAAAATTATACATGGGCATATAATTATACAATTGACATTGGATGTGTACAAGGTGTTGATGTGTCAGCTTTTTTTCAGCACCCCTACTTAAGTTGTGCAGTCCATTTAGAGATGAATTGAAGGTGCTTAGAGGTGGATCATGCCACCTTAAGTGAGGTAATCATCTGTCTCAGAAGTCAATGAAATTTGGCAAACTGTCATTATATTGAGAATAGCCTGCCGACAAAAAATACATATGTCCATACTTCAAGTGGAGACAGAGAAAAGTGAATTTTAATTTGATCTAGGCACAAAATGGCCCCCAACCCCCAGATGCTAAACTCTTGACTAGACTGTTATTATGTCACCACCCTATTTTGGTTGACCATAACTTTTCATGGGACTGTTGGATGCAGCTGATACTAGACAGAGAAGTTCATGGGTCTAAGAGGTTTTTCAAATCCACAAGATGGTGCTATATGTAGATAGAGGGCACTGTTATTGACCAGAGAACCCCTTATTTTCGTGCAATGCCACTTTTTAAATGGGAAATGAAGAACCTGTAAGGTTTATCTTTTGAGCCTTTGAACCTTACATGAGCCTCTCTGACAAAAAATATCAGTATTATCTGATAGCCCTTTCAAAAGATTTGGCCTATTTAAGCCTTTTTAAAAAATAAGAATTGAGTCAGAATTGGTTTATATCCCAAACAGATTAAACTACTTGATTTCTTTTTGAGATGATGGAGCTTAGACCAGTATTGCCTTTGAGGTGTAATTATCCACCTGTAAACTTTGTAACAGGGCAATGCAATGCATAGCTCAAAGAATTGTTCTGAGAAAAACCCAGACAATCTTCTCTGCACTTAGCATATGTCCAATTTATTAATCTTATAATTTTTGTCCCTGCAAGTTGATTCACCTGCTGCCAATAGTTCATTACTAGTTTTCAATATTCAAGAAACAGCTGAAGAAGAAGCTTTTCTGTATTTAACAACAGTAGCAGTAAGAAAATTCATTTTAATATTTATCATGACTAGTAAGTCAGACAATGAAAATGCACTAAAATTCCATCTGATACACACAATACTTGTATTTTCACTTATCTCCTCTGCTTTGTTCCTATGATGAAAGATGCAGTATCTGACTGGTCAGTGATTACCCTTGCACGACTAGCTGAGGATTGACCTTCCTGTCATTTTTCAAGTTCTTGTGAAGTGGAGACCCTTTTGAATGCATGAACTTTTCATTGCTACAGGGATGCTACCCCACAAGGTAGAGAGAGGAAAGCAGGCTCTGAAGCGCCTCCAATGCTATGAGGGGGTCCCACCCCGTCATGCCAAGACTCGCAAGATGTACTGCCCTAACTCTATGCGTGTGGTGAAGCTTAAGAAGGGCCACAAGGTATTCCCTCTAGCTGTGGTTTTTCCTTTTTCCTTTTGCTTCTGGAAGCAAAGGTGGCAAATATCCTTGTAGCTTGCACCCTGTTTGACGGAATGACAGACAGAACAGTTTATAGGAGAATGTTGATTATTGAATTGTTTGGGACACTGGAATCTTTAGATAATCTGTTTCTGCAGATATTTGACCTTTTTTAAAATTGTTTTGCATAGAAAAAATAGACCCAGCAGGGTGGCTTGCTTTCCAAAACACTTAGTTGGCCCAAATTTCATGTAAAGGTAATTTACCCTTTCTAAATTGGAGGTTGATGTAACATGCAGGACCCTGAAGTTGGTTGGTTAGGTTGCTGGAGCAGCTTAGGTTAGCAAGATTCAGGTAATCAATTCTCTGTTGTAGCTTTTTAGAGTTTTGCTGGAAAAATGCAGGCCACTTTTATTGGTTAAACTGATGTTGCTCTATGGGTTGCATTTGGAAAAAAGAAATAGTAATACATTTTCAGAACTTATGCAGTGAGAATTTGCATACATGCCCAATATCAGATTTTGACATTTCAGAGAAGTTTGAAGTATTAAATGATAGTAACAGTATATTTTTACACCTTATTTCCTGGGGTATCAGGTAGGGTACATGTTTTTAAAAATGTAGGAAAGAATGTTGAATGCTTTGTCTGAAAGAGGAAATGTTGATTGGATCATTATATGATGCAGTCAGTGTTTGGAAATGGCATTATGATCAAGAAAGGTTTTTATGCTGCTATACATGCAAAAATTATTTTCTTTGGGCCATAAATGAATGGAAAAATTAATATATGTTCCTGCATTCCAATCTTTGAATTGTATTATTAGGAAACCTAGCATTGAAGTAAATTGAAAAAAGTGGATGTGCAGAAACTTACCTTGCATGCACCTTGCCTGTCAGCATAGAAAAGTTTTATTCCACTTTCATGAATTGTTTTCATTATCTTCATCTCAATTTGTGGGGAATTCTCATCGAGTTCATTTCCTTCAGTGGTGTTACCTGGGCCGCTTGAGCCACGAGGTGGGCTGGAAGTACCAGCATGTCATCAAGGCTCTGGAGGTCAAGCGCAAGATGCGGGGCTGCATCTATCACAAAAATAAGATGGCTGAAAAGGTGAGGAGTATCTTTGTTTTCTAATGAGTTGCTGGCCAGCATGTGTAACTTTGATTCTTCACTCTAAAGTTGGGCATAATTTTAATATTTTTTATGCACTATCTATTTTAAAAGTCAAGTAAGCCGTCTATATTTGGTTATGCACTGGTACTTTTACCATTTCTAGTTCATTTTGCATCTTATGAATCACTTTCCAAAGAGCTGCAATGATTGACTGAGTTTTTTTTTAATGATCTTATGCTGTTTTTTCACATCCTTACAGAAAGTGTTGCGGAAAGCTAAGACGGAGGTTGGGCCTGCTATCAAGCATCACCAAAAGATCATCAGGAGTTTTGGCTATCATTGAGTGCCTGTCTCCACTTATTTGGTTCAGAGCAAATTATATCTCTGGCTTCTCTCCTGGCTGACATCTTGTTTCAATTCCATTTTTTAATCACTGAAAGTTGCTTTTTTGGGAAGGTGTGAGTACAATATCTTGTATGCATGTCAGAAAACTTAGAAATCATATGAGTGCATATGACTGACTTCACATATGCAATAGTCTTTGGACTAGAGAAGAGCTTAATGGTGTAATACGGTTACAGTATTGAAAAGAGATCTACACTTTTGCTTAAATTGGTTTAGGCCCAGAATCTTATTGTGAACTTTTGGACATGCTGAGTGTAAGTGCAATTGGCCTATATCTATTGATAGATTGCAGATTCATTTTGCATAAAACCTCCTCAGTTACATCTGATAATGTTACTTACCTCTTTCCCTTGCTGGGATATCTAAATGTTTCAAGAATGTTGGCATAATATTGTGCTGATGCCAGGAAAAGGTTTAATTTTTGCAGGAGGGGGCAATAATTAGCAAGCTAATGCAGGGGAGATTGGCTCGAAATATGTGATATGAAATAATATGGGCTTGTTTTGCTCTCACTATAGGAATCCATCCAACTCGAATGCATTTGCAAGTAAGTGCAACAAATTGGCTTAGCTTAGATATCTGGCATTCACTAGTATTTTATTGTAACTTAGTTCTCGCCTGGCGATTTGATGCAGTCCAGAATTATGAGCAGTAATACCCCAACATAGTTTGGGTACAGTGGAATTCTTGGAGCAAAGCTTTTTTTTTTTCTATCCCTGATATCCCTATCTTAAAAAATCATTTGGATGAACTTTCCCACAAGTTGGGCAAGCCCAGTCCAGTAGTGGGCCGCCTTTCGGTTAAGGAAACCATAATTTTCTCACCTAATTGAAAAAAATGCCATCTCTTTCCGGTCTTCGACCATCAAAACCTAATTTCTCATTTACATTTGGTAAACATAAACAAACGGTGCCCATGAAACGACGATGGGAGGATGGAGGGCTGTGCGTGGTTGGATCCATCTGCCACGAAATTTGATAGGGAACTGACAGCTGTGGTAGCTGACACGGCGCTGTGCCCAAAGCCTGGGTCGTACTCTCATGCGCATTGTGATCCACATCCAGGTACGCATGCATTCCCCACCGTGACCAAATTTCAAATCCAAAATTTGCGATGAACGTGCTAATTTTGATTCAAATCCACCACAAAACGAACTCAGCCTGTATCTTGTTCATATCTACCCGCTTGCCAATTTTTGCAATGATCAGACGAACATTTTTTTTATTTATCGTTGGATAACCAAAGTGACGTACACGGACGGACAGGACAGGACTATAAGTGGTCTCTTTCCTTTCAGGGAAGGAGGCCCGCTAAAAAGGAAGCAATTTGTACATTTATTCAGCCTCCATTTTAATAGGTTTTATGGCATAGCACTGAGGCTGTATTCTTTTAATTCTGAGACCTTTATAGGGTGTAATTTCCATTTACCTATTTACATCATTTCATCTGACGTTACCCTCTTCTATTCCCCTTGTTCTATATTTCCTCTCCTTTTCTTTTTCCCTTCCTTTCTCGGCGCCCGTTTATTAACGGTTCTGTATACCCGGGGTAGCCTTTGAATCCTGAAAGGGGATAATCGTCCATGGGTGACTAAACGTCACTGTTTCGAGACGCCGACTCTACTATAAGGAAATACCCAATTTCGAGTGAGTTGGAGGCTTTAAAAAAAAGCAGGGATGACTAAAATTTAGTGACCTGTATGAGTGATTGTGCGTATTGATTAGTTTCTGTGGTTCCAAGATCCAGCGGCATGTATTTTTGCTGCATGTCAGAATTGGAACATGGCTGGACGTGCATGAAAAATTGTAAAGAAAAAGCCTGATTTTGAATCCTGGGTGAAAGTAGTACGGTTGGGATTCCTTGGATGAAACTACTCATTCTTAGCCCCTAAATCTTTCAATTCCAGTAGCCATGTCTACACTCGGATTTAATTTTTAAGTGTAGTGTCTTTGTGCATTAGCGTACGAGTACAGAGGCAAGTAGCATACAAATTTGCCATAACCAAGTACCCAAACCCGAGGTTGAGGACAATAAATAAATCCTGCTGCTCCATTTGTCACTGACGCATGGATATCGCCGAGTCCTTGGAGGAATTTAGCCCATACAGGCGTTCTTTACACTATAAATTCGCGCCTAAGAAAGGCGCCGAACAAATTAATACGATGAAATCATCTCTGTATTCCCAGATTTCAGGTAAAATGCTACGCTTGATGCCACGTGAAATAAGAGTGCTTGAGGATTCACGTGTGACTAACAGACCAACAGTTCCTTTTGTCGGTCATGAGTCATGGGGAGTCTGATGCATCGTCTACGAAAATTTGTTCAATATTCGTCAGTTAAGTTTATGCGAAAACGAAAATTCTGCATTTTTCATGGACGAAAAATGGACAAGGTCGAAAAATAAGGACGTCCAGGACGAAAATTACTTTTCGTCCCATCTTGTCGAAACATGTTTTAGAACGAAAGAAAGAATCAAAAGTGAACATTTTTAATTCTTTCGCTGCCGAATTTAAAACCCTATCCCTTGGGTGAGAACGAAAATGACAACTGCAGCGAAAGAGCTAAAGTAATGCACAATATTTACATTATATAAATGTTATATGTACCTCTCAGCAGTCTCGCTCACATTTCCCATCCATGCTTGCGTGCAGCCCGCGCACGAAGTCTTGCGAAGAGTGTCACGTGTCCTCCAGGCGGAGGACACAAGGACATTAATGATTAAGAGGATGTTATGGAGTTTCCTTCATAACATGATACATTCATGGAAATAAGAGAAATAAAAGTTTGTTTTTTTGTAGAAACAAATTTTTTTCATTCATAAAAATTGATCAAACATTTATTCTAAGAAAAAACACGTCGAAAATTAGAAAATTAGGTCACAACATGGTCGAAAGTGACTGAATTTATGAAATCCTGACTAAAATAAAATTATTGATTTTTTTTTTCTTTGGAAAATATATGACGAAACAAAAGTTATAGCTTCCCAAACTGACGAAAATTAAAATAAAATTATGATAGGCCGCCGAAAACATCCTTGTTGGCCACTACGCATGATCGAGACTCACTAAGTCTTTGCATCCATCGAACGCGATGGCTTTGTCTCCTTTATTTATTTTAGATTCTCATTTTCTTTTCCTTCGTTTGTTTCATTTTGCTTAACCCTGGATTTACACTGAAGAGAGGAGACAGATGGTAACACGAAACTCTGACTGAATTTTTTTATTACTGTTTTCAGATTTCTTTTCATCTATTATTTGGTTTCTTATTAATCTTATCGCACCGGGAAAACACTGGAATAAACTTGGCTCTCTCAGTTGAACATGTCAGTCCACGTTTTATAGTATGTTCGTAGATGTCCCTCGGAATTATTGACAGAAAGATGTAATCGATGAAACCAGCTTTCAATTAAGCTAATGAACCCAAGTAACTAAAACTCGAATGAGATATTTTTCCTCCTGTCCGGGTGTCTGTTTCTGTCATATATGCAAGAGATGTGACGGAAAGTTTCCAACCTCTTCTCTTATCCCAAACGTCAGCGTGCAAAAATAGAAGAGACGAAATAAACCAGTGGCAGGGATTTCCTCTTCTTTTTTTCCCTTTCTGTCCTTTCGTTGTTTTTCCAGGAGGAGTGGGCCAGATCGAAAGAGACACGTATGCTCATCCATCGCCACAGATAATTCACATCTGCACTCCCATACAAAATGTTACCAAATTTAACCGCTTTTCCCCCTAATCTTTACCTGAAGGGTCTTCTGACGGGTTGAAAGAGGGGAGAAAACTGGATTTTTACCTGTTTCACCGTCCAAATTTTACCTCGGGTAAAAAATTTTTGTAAGGGCTTGTATGCCTTCAACTCTTCAATAATAACGGATGATATTTCAGGAAAATATTTACGGATTACGAAATAAATACGGATGATATTTCAGTCCCCCTTCAAAGACCAACCGTTCTCATCGTGGTGTTGGGGGTGGCAACGGCATACCGTAAGTATGCTGGCCAAACGGCTCTGGCCTGGGGAAAGACCTGGCAACCTACCCCAGCATTCTGCCAAAATATTCTATGGATCAACGACTCAACAATGATTCCGACATGGTACTGGAAAGTGGGACCCCCAGGCTGGAAGGTACCCAAAATGCGACTGGGGAAGAGCAAGGAGGAGGTCGAAGTAGCTGGGGCAGTGATGACGCGGATAGGTTAAATCCGTTAGGACGCCCATCTGCTGATGTGGCCCGCAGCGAAACGACCACTCTGCGCTGCACAAAACCATATAAGATTGGAACGTGGAATGTNGAAAAAGGGAGACACGAAGGATTGCTCGAACTACCGCACCATAGCCCTGATACCACACGCAAGCAAAATCCTTCTGAAGATCATCCAGCAACGTTTGAGTACAACCGTTGATAGGGAAATGCCAGATGTGCAAGCTGGCTTCAGGAAAGGCAGAGGCACTCGTGATCACATTGCCAACCTTCGATGGATTATGGAAAAAAGCAGGGAGTATCAGAAAGACCTCTACATGTGTTTCATCGATTATTCGAAGGCGTTCGATGTCCTTGAGCACAACAAGCTCTGGACCTGCCTGAAGGAAATGGGCACACCACCACACCTGACCGAACTCATAAGATCTCTCTATCAAGATCAGAAAGCTACAGTCCGAACGCCATATGGAGACACGGATTGGTTGAAGATCAGAAAGGGCACACGTCAAGGATGCATCCTGTCACCAGCAGCTTTCAACATGTACGCAGAAGCTATCATGCGGCGAGCAGACCTGAATGAGTCCAAGATTGGTGTGAAAATAGGCGGCAGAAACATCAACAACCTCCGATACGCCGACGATACCACCCTGCTGGCTGAAAACAAGAAGGACCTCGAACATCTGATCATGATAGTCAAAGAAGAAAGTGAGAAGGTTGGACTGCGCCTGAACATCAAAAAGACAAAGATCATGACAACAGCAAAAAATTCGAACATCAATATCAAGATCAACAATGAAGAAATTGAAGTGGTTGAAGATCTCATCTTTCTTGGCTCCAAAATTGATCGCAATGGCGACTGCACCCCTGAGATTAAGAGACGGCTGGCACTTGGAAGAAATGCGATGGTCAGTATGTACAACATCTGGAAGAGCAAAGATATCAGCTTGGCAACCAAATGCAGATTGGTCAGTGCAATCGTTTTCCCAATAACAACATACGGCTGCGAAACCTGGACGCTGAGAAAGGCAGACAGGCGAAAGATCGATGCATTTGAACTGTGGTGCTGGAGACGTCTGTTACGCATTCCGTGGACAACCAGAATAACAAACCAAAAAGTTCTGGAACGGATCAAACCGAAAATCTCACTGGAGGGGAAGATGACAAAGCAAAAGCTCTCCTACTTTGGTCACATCATGCGAAGCAAGTCGCTTGAGAAGGACATCATGCTTGGAATGGTCAGTGGCAAAAGAAGACGAGGCCACCCAAGAACTCGCTGGCTAGATACCATCAAGAAAGATACTGGATTGAACATAGCAGAATTGAAAGAAGCCGTGAGAGATCGGAAGACATGGAGAACACTGATCCATAGTGTGGCCGAGAGTCGTACTCGACTGAACGGATAAGAAGAAGAAGAATTTCAGGAAAAATTCTCGTAATTCACATGACGTCACGACGGAATTATTCCCAACCACGGACTGTGACTGGAAGGAAGCCGTGACGCGTACGTCCTCAAACTTTCCATTTCCTCGATATTTCAGGTCCTCATGGTGTTCGCGACGTAGGGAATATTTTCCTATCTGGTAGTGGAGTTGGGCGAATGCCGCGAAGTTCACTTGGTCGCACGGTGTAAAGGATACCTGCAATCACACTGAAAATGAAGAAGCAAATGAGCTAATTAGTGTGCTCCGAGTTAGAAAGCCTCAAGGACGGATACGCGCAACCAGGGCTTCTAACAAGAATAAGCGTATTCTTCAAAGGAACATTCATCTACTTGTACACGGCCGTATGAATATTTTGTTATGCGGCTTATAAGGTCAGGAATTTGACCACCCCTTTACTAGTAGATTGCAGATTTTTTCCCAAACCTCAGGTATGATCGACAGATGGCTGAGGGATATACCTATGCCATCGCACACTACATCAGTTCCTCGAATTATCCCCCGTTCGATACAATCCAGCGCGTAAAGCGGTGTTTCTGCACATCCATCTCCTCAACTTCGTTTCTTTTCGGAGAGCACTAATTGGCTCATTTTCTCGTTGCTTCGGCGTGATTATGAGTATCCTTAAGGTTATGCAACCGGGAGAACCAGGTGTATCCTGAAAGCTATGGAACCAGGCAAGCTCTGTGACGTTCGCTCGAGTCCAGAAGCAGGCAGCGAAATGTTCCATAAGTCGCGATTAAAATACGAACAACGTACATCGAGAAGCCCGCAATCGTAGGATAAACGATACAAACTCCGACTCCTCTTAAGCTTAAAATCTGCTCCCTCGCCAACGTTTCCCAATTGATGGTTTGACGATCTATCCCATTCGAGAGGAAAATACACACTGTCCACATTTTGAGACCGGACATCGGTGTAATTTCGTTGAAAAAGGCTGTTTGGAAACGTTGGTTTATACTCGTACATAACGTTTGGCTTACGCTGAAAATTTGTAACGTGGAGGAGGGGGAGGGACTTAATGGAACTTAAACCACATCGGTTTACGAGCTAAACTGATCTGATTCCAGGCAAATATGTTTAGGAATGAGTTGAACTCATCGTTAAACTGATTTGCGACATGCATAAAATGCAATCACTTTACTTCTCTCTTAAACTAATTCAGATAAACTTGTTCCACAGAAGGTTTAACTCCCTAAACGGATTCTCAGAGGTAGTTCAATGCACTGTTTTGCTGGAGTGTGCCTCATTTTTCTTGTTCCTCATAATCTAACGACGGTGGAAATGGAAACTAATGAAGAGATAGAAGTTTTTGACGTGATCCTGAACCAAACTGCCCGGAGGACTATCAGAGTTTGACTAAATCCTCTTGAATGGTCCAATGGAGACGAATTCCGAAGAAGGTTTCGTATTTCCTTGGACACCGTTGTCGACTTGGTGCGGATAATGGAGCAGCAGCTGGCTCATGATACTGATCATTCTCTTTCCAAGTGCAACCACATCGCCTTTAAACGTGTTTAAATAGTGGATAAAAACGTGTTCATGGAAACAAGTCTGATTTTCGGCGGCGCATGTCAAAGATAAACACATTCTCAAACGTGTTTTAATGAGCGTGTTCATCTCGTTTTTAAACTAAACCGATTCCTCAATCGGAGCATGTCACCCTATAGCAGGGTCGGAAGGGTCCTACCCTCGTACGAATCAGCCGTCACTCAAGTGAAAGTGGGTTCGGAATACCTTTTCGTGTCCCTGTTCGCGGCCGTTGACCTGAGAAGACTCGCTCCACTACGTACGACTGTAAAGCACGGTCGATTTGTGGTCGGAACTCGACTAGGCCTACGCTCGCATCTATGCGGAAGAAAGCTGGAAGAATTAAAATAGTGACATAAAAAAAAAGAGTTGCTAAATGAAATCACTTTTATTAGTCTTGCCCTTGCATTGTCTTTCCTTTCGGCGCCAAAAACCAACCGTATCCTTGAATACCTTTTCAATTATTTGGAAGTAAGATACAGTAATGAAAGCCTTAGTGCATATATAATTTCAATCAAAACGGCTCAACGGCAAAACGGCAGCGTACTCATGAATTGAACTTCACAAAAAGACATTGCTGTTATGATTTACTTCTCCATATAAATGTTTCAAACCAATATTCAACATTTACCACCAACAGCAATATTATGCTTTTCCATGCAAAATGCTACACCTCAGATCTCAACATCTGCTTCAAAGTACTTCCTTTTTTCTTTGGGAAAGAAAACTGTTTTTAGACCCAGAACAAACTAAATAGTTCCAATAAAGGGAAAGGCAATAGGAAATGCCTAGTTTCACTTACTTCAAGTACTTTACAGGATGGCCTACCCTAAATGCAAAAAAAAAAGGAATCCCTACTTGGTGAAAAACCAAAACGTGGAAGCGAATTCCATTAGCTGAATTGCAAGGGTGGGCACGAACCTTCGACGTACTCGTACATGCGACTCACTTTCTCCATGACTGGTCCGTACACCCACCCGCATTCAATTGGAGACGAGAGGGTATCGAGACGACAGCTGCTGGAGGAGGTTTTTCTTCCTTCATTCGGTTCGAACCCTGATTCCCTCTTGGCCTTAAGTCTTGGAAACAGTTTCATTCAAACCACACGAAGGGATACGACTAAGTGCAACTGTGGTACGACTAACAGCGTTGCGTATTGAAATTTCGGGCGTTGGAATTCGTTCGCATCGAGTCTCCATTAGGTAGGATGAAGAAAGCCTGCCGTTACGGCGTCGATATTCAAATCAAGCGAAAGCTACTGTTGCAATTTCCGAGTCGTTCCTGCTTTTTATTTTCGGTTTCCAGGGATCGTCTACTCGTAAGCTGCCTTTCAAATTGAATTCCTATGCTGGCTTGTGATTTGGATTCTCATATTTTTCCAGGAAAGGTAAGCATACGTACTCTCACAAGTCTGACGCTTGATTTATCTAGATTGATCTTCCTTGATTTTATTCCCTTGGTTTTTGTTTCTTTGATCCACTCGGGACTCACTTGTAAAAACATGGCGACCCACCGGTCGAGACCCACTGCTTTAGCTATGAAAGCGGGCAACTGTCAAGGCTCTATTAACCCGTAATAGACTGGCATTGCAGGAACAAATGCCGGTTGATTTCTTACAGAGGGATACGACCGCACTGATTTTTTTTCTTTGAAAATATCCGTATCAGTGATTTACTGGCGTGTTTTCATGTACTTCGAGGCTCTTAATGACAAGTTGGCATGAAATACCCCTATGATGATCTAATTTTTCTGACCGCTTTTCCTTCGGCAGACTAAGTTGAACCGCATGAACCGCTTTCAGGTGGTAGGCAACAATTACGTAAATTGCCAGTATCCCAAAAATTTCCGCTTCGGTGCTCCATCGTTAGAAATACATAAAGAACTCTGGTTACGAGTAGGTTCCCCAGCGCTAAAAGTCCCGTACCTTGCTGCATGATTGCGTCATCCTCTCACTGAAAGGAAAGCAATTCACAAAAATAATATCTTCTCGAATAGTAAGTAGTGAGTGGACAGCCATCACCCCATACCGTTTTTAAAGGCACTTAAAGGCATGGAAAGCGCCTGACCTCGATGAACGGAATGGGTGGGAGAGAAATCGAATCGACCGCGCTTTTTTATTACGGAAGAAGGCTCCTCTTCGAGTCGTCTCCTAGTTCGTATTCACTTATCTGTATCTGTCATTCGATCTTGCGAGGGCCAAGGGCAAGACTGCACTGAATTTCATCACTTTTTCAGACCGCCCAAGCCTACCTTTTGCTTGGCGGTTGCTTCCAAATCGATGCATGGGTTTTAACAGACATCTAATCCAATCTGCCGATCCCGTTCTGTGTTCGAAAAAAAAGACATTGCTGTTATGATTTACTTCTCCATATAAATGTTTCAAACCAATATTCAACATTTACCACCAACAGCAATATTATGCTTTTCCATGCAAAATGCTACACCTCAGATCTCAACATCTGCACTGAATTTCATCACTTTTTCAGACCGCCCAAGCCTACCTTTTGCTTGGCGGTTGCTTCCAAATCGATGCATGGGTTTTAACAGACATCTAATCCAATCTGCCGATCCCGTTCTGTGTTCGAACGAGCAAATGCATAAACCGAATCCATAAACGGAATTTCATTGCTTTTAGAAGGTAGAGCGAGAAACGTTCCCTCATTTCTAAAATGTTCCAATGCGTGTTTCTCATAATTGTAGAGCTCCGTCCCGTAAAGGACTCCGGCAGACATGTAAAATCGGCAAAATTTGTGTTTAACAATAGAAACGGAATCAAAAACTCAGATAAATCGCAGATAAAATGAGGGAAATTAGCAGAGAGTCGCCGTCATCAGTCGCTCGCATAAGCTATGCGAGGCTATGGGTAGAGAGGAAAGTGGAGCAGAGAGGCTAGAGTAGAGGGGGAAGGTGAAGCAGAGAAGTAGAGGGCGCAGCGCACATTCTGCTGACGATACCCCCAAAATGACCGGGAGAAGTGTGGAAAATTGATAGTGAAATGTAACTGAATGCCTTTGCTCGTCGTCCTTTAAAGTACTCTCGATATGACGTGATCGTCGATGTATTCCCTGCATATTATTAGTACGTACTCGTAATACTGGGAGGAAAAGAGAAAACTGGTCTTTTTTACCTTGAAACTGCTGTTACTGTCAGTCGGACTTAGGTTTATTTTCAAGGAAATAAACTTTGCATGGTATAATTAAAAAAATGAACCCTTTATTCACAACCTTTACGAAATAAGTTTGGTCTCGCAGAGTAGATGCGAACAAGGGAATCGTGTGCCATTGACTAGATATCGATCGATTAGAAACTAGTCCCAAACAAAATCACTACTGGGACAGACTGCACTGTCGAGTTGATCTCAAGCTCAGACTCCAAGAGTCGAACGCGAGAATAAGGCACGGCTTCTTTACGATGCTGTTCCAACAAAGCAGCATAATCTACGTGGAGAAATATGTAATCTGATCCCATCACGATGTCGATCGTTCTGGAAAAACACCCCGAGAAAAGTGGACTCGTACGTTGCACGTACTCCAGAATGTCAAAATCGGCGATACACGACAGATTTAAAACTCTTTCACGGTCCGGTCTCGATCGAAACAGACCGATCGGCAGTCGATGATTCATCACAATCGGCAGGAAGTGGAGGGAATATAATGTTTTTGCAGGTCACTGCCTCGGGCTCAAAGCCAACGATGGATTTCGATGGAGGAAAGGAAGAGGAGAAGGAGGATGGAGGGGATGTTCGTGGCTCCGCGCCCGAAAACATTTTGATTCTTGGACAAGGGTTGAGTCTTGATCATCAGCCAGGAATACGCGTGCCCGTTCCTGCGCTTCAGCAATTCCCCGCCGATTTCCCTCCGCACCCGGGCGTGGTATTCGTCGAGCCAGTTCAACTGCAGCACGTCACATGTGTAAATCTATTGCAATGGGAAGCAACAGAGGGAAGAGTTTAACTTGGGCTCACTTGTTCTTCGCTCATGATGTTGACGTCTATCAAATTCGGCTCGAAAGGCACGAGTGTTATCGGCTCGAAACCGTAATAAGGACCGTCGAAATCATGCTGCCAGGGAAGAACATGTCATCGTCAATTCGTGCATTCGAGCATGCGAATTCCAGATCTGTTGGAAATCTGCTCGAACTCACGGTGAGGTTCTTCTTTACGACTCGGACTATCGTTTCCAGACGGATCCCGAATTGCCCGTCTTCATAGTAGCCAGGCTCTGCAAAAACATCGACCGTGGGGGAATATGCACAATCGACGAGAAAATCTTTCGAGTACCGAAGATAGAGGTAAGTGAGTGCATAAAGCAGGAGCTGAAGCAACAGCGAAGCAGTGACTCTCACCGATCGACTGGTGAACGTTCTCTTCTATCGACTCCGTACGGACAGCTTCAGGCCACAAAGCATGCAAAATGAAAACACGAGTGAGTGCACTATTTGCAATAAATACCGTCACCTGGAGGTGAAGTGGCAGGATCGCAGAGTTAAAACGACATCGGTGCAACACGAGGCAAGTGCAAGTGAAAAGAGGAAGACGACGAGCAATCGGTGCCGGTCGACAAAGCATGCGATTTCCAAACTGTTCATTTACCATCGGAGAAGAAGTAGTTTTCCTCCAGCGTGTGCGGTTCTGGCGAATAAAAACGAACTTGCGTCGGCGCTGCAAGAACGGAACTTTGTGAACGAAAGGAAATATTGCAGAAGACGACGCGCTTCGGAAATTACATCCGGTCGGGTATCTGTAGGGACTCTGGAAAACGGAACGGAAGGACGAAAGAAATGCGTCGGGTTTTACCCTCGTGGACGTGAAGGAACATGCCGATCCCGTGTCCGGTGCCGTGCCTGTAATTGAGTCCAGCGGAGAAGAGCGGTCCTCGGGCTGCCAGATCCACGGCGACGTCGGTGGTTCCCTTCGGGAAGACGGTCCTGGCCAGATCGATGGCACCCATCAGGACTCGCGTGTAGGCTTCTTTCTGGAACGGCGTGGGCGAGCCGTAGTGCATGGTCCTCGTCACGTCTGTGGTCCCATCTACGGGAATGGTCCCACCGAGAATCACGTATCGTGCAGCGGATGATCGGAGGAATTAAAAAAAAATACGAAATTTGGCAGAAGAGTACCCCAGACAGAGATACTCTTCTTTCTTCATTCTTAAATGTGGAGCCATCTCAGATCCCTTCCCCCCCCCCACCGATGGGGGGGGGGGGGGGGGGGGAGCCCCATCGGTGGGGAAGGGGAAGGGATCCTACTAATCTCCCTGGAGAAACACCCAGTTAATGAAGTGTTGAACAGGAACTCCTAATGGCGCCTAAAAAAACGTAAACTAATTTCACAGCCATAGGATGAGTGTTATACCAGAAAAGCATCCCGAATGTCCGAGGAATGAAAAAAGAGTAAGAGTGAAGCATTTCTTTTTGCATGCCGAGGATCCCAACTGACTTCGTTTCATCGACGTCAGTTATTTAGGATCCGTTCATCAGCCGAGCATTCCAATTAAAACGTTGGCGGACGCCTGGGCCTGGACCTGGACCTGGACCTAGACCTGGACCACGACGGCTCCAGCCGTCTTGTCGCACGGAAGGTCTATAAGGGTGACGGCAATAGCCGTATGGCCCGCCAACGTCTTAATCTACTGCACTGTACATGGATGAAAAAATAGTGTCTAGAGACGTCGTCTCGGCATGGCGTCTCACTCGTGAATGGCACGATGGCAAAGAGGCTCGAGAAAAGAAGCGAAGGAAACAGTCTAAGGAAAGAATAGGAAACCGGCACGATGAGTGAAGAGATCCTCTTCTCCCTCAACTCTGACGTTCGGCAACTTTTCCTTCCGACGACCTTACAACATCGCTCGATTTTTCTGAACACCATTACGGGTTCTAGTTCCTCGTTTCGTCGACCAATCTCTTCTGGGTGTTTATGGCGATTTATTTGACTCCTTTTCTCTTTTGCATCTGAACGTTTGGCGAGTTTTCTCTGCGAAGAGTCACGACACGTCCTCGAAACTCGGGTCCATTTCATGACTCACCGCTTGAAGTCATACCAAGTTTTGTCACTATCGCTCATCTCCTTCTTAGCTATGCAATTTCAATGCCGGACAGAGCATATAAGATGTTAAAAAAAAAAACAACTGTCGTTTTCTTTGGGAAAAGGAAAGATTGACACGATTCACATATAGATCATTCATATGGCGATTTTACCGACGGTCTGGATTCGGAATTCAATTAAATTTGACGAGCAGTCGTATTGCGAGGTTTCGATTTCCCACTGGAACAACAACCGAGCTTTCGACATTTCATCAAGCTTTCGACATTTAAACTTCCGATGTTATTGACTTAATTGCTGCAAATTTAATTATTAACCAACATTCTGATTTGAAAGCCTAACCTCTTTGTGGACATCGTAATTCCTCAAAGTAACTTTGAATATTGGTTGATAGATGCATGAGCTCGTTCTTCCTTAATTTTGATACAATCACGAAGTCTCACACGGCATTCAAGGATTCTCATATTTAAATATGGGCCATCTTCTTAATTGAAATTTGTATACAAAACATAAATATCACTTTAATCAGTTATCATACTTTTTTAGCCCTTCGAGGAGCGAGTTTTCTTAAACCTTTCGGGAGTATGGACGTACCGGTACGTTCATGCTCCTCAAAGGGTTAAATGTCCCTTTCTTTTACCTTTAACTCCAGAACCAACTCCTAGGGGACAAAAGAGCAAGGAAATGGGATAAATTAGATGTGGGGGAGGAGGGGCTATTTTTTTCCTGGGAGGGAAATTGGAAATCCTCATATCTTGAACATCATTTGCTGTAGAGACCTAGGATTATGGCTTAAGCTATTCTCACCATAATCCGACTTCATGCCAAATTGTCACGGGGCATTGCGCGACTGAGACGCGGTTACCGACAAAAATTCTATCCTCAATTTTATCCAACACCTCGAAACCTTCCGATGCCGATCGCTTATCTAATTTATCGTTGTTGATCGCGTACGCTAAGTTATCCTTCTCCCAGTAAAAAGGATGAGACTTTCTTTTCTCATCACCCTATATGTACCTGGTGCGGGGAGGAAAAAGCGCCACACAGTTGGGATTCTTCTGTCCGAAAATTGCTCATCGCCACAGTCGTGCATGTTCCAAATACAGGGCGTCCAAAAAGTGACTACCTATGGGTGAATTTTTTATTACAGACCCTGAAGTAGCCTTTTTTTTTTACTTTTATTGACTGGCGACATACCGACCTCGGAATAGTGTCAGTTCTTTTCTCCTTCCACTTTGGCACGGCCGAGAATTAATTTCCAACATCTGGTGTTTTATTATTATTTTTTATTCATTTGAATGCCGAAGAAATTCAGACAATGATTCGAGGAAAAATTGTTTGACGTTTGACTCTATTGCAACAACTTCTTGCAGTTGTCACAGTATTGATTGAATGATAGAGCGTTTTAGAAAATTCAAAATAATAAAAATTATGATTTTACTCGACAAATTGGCTCAATATGTCGACCGCCGATTTCCAGACATTTCTGAGCCCTGGCAATTACATTGTCGGCAACATCCATGAGAATTCCATCACTTTTCTGGCTCATGGCACGAGAGATATTCTCTTTCAAGTTGTTCAGATCTGTGGGCTTGCCTTGTAAGCAATGCCTTTTAAGTAGCCCCAGAGAAAAAAAAAATCAGAAGGCTCAAAATCCGGAGATCGTGGAGGCCATTTGCTGACAATTAGGAATGCTATACTCCGTAAGTCTGAACTTGTAATTGAAACAAGGGTTTGGTAAATGAATTCTCAATCACATTAGAGTGTAGGAACCAAAGATGTGACACCATCCCGAGGTCTAAGGATAAACAGCCTACGAAAATATATTTAAAAACTTTGTTCCTCCAGATTCAGTATGAAAAAAGTTGCCCATAAGTAGTCAATTTATGGACATCCTGTATATAGGTACTTGCGTTTTGTCTGCCAAAGAAAAGTTTTCATGATTTCCCCCCGGCTGTTTTAGCCAAAGAAGCACTTGGAATTCGGTTAGTAAAATGTTTTGAAATGCCAGCCCAGATCTTTCGGCGCTGGGTCGCTTTTGCGCCACCTTGTATATCGCGTCAGTTGCGACGATGGTGTCGTTTGAGGCAGACGGCTGCAATCCAAGCGTCTTTTCTTCGCGAAAGATGGAAAGGCGGTCGTATCGTGAAGGAGTTCCCGGATAGAGGCCGGAAAAAGAGCTCCATCGATAGTTTTGTCGTAAATATTGTCGTGAAAATTTCTGCTACCGGTCTAATAAAACGGAAGGAAGGAAGCGGTCCTGCAGTCTCTGAGGAAAATCTTCGTCGTGTATTATTTCGACACCGAGTCGGAAGAATCATCTTCACCGACGAGAAGGATTCCACCTTCGAGGTACCGATGAAGGCCCGAAACGATGGGATGCACGGAAGAGGGAAGAAAAGAGATGCGGATGCAGATGGTCTTCGCCATCGCTGATCTCGGTTCTCCCGAAAGGTTACGGTTCGCGCTGGGGTTAGCTGGAACGGGAAAACGGACGATCCACGACGAAGGTGAGTTCGAGATTCGACTCGTGGGCGCGAATCTTCTTTCGTATTCCTTTCTTCTCCGCCCGATGGGCGTCGCACCTTCGTTCTGGATGGTCCCCATCGCATCGCAGTCACGAAACTCAAGCCTTCCTTTCCGACGATACGTCGACGTTCGTCGGAGGCACGGAACGGCCATCCGATTCTCCGTCGGCCCGTTCGATTAGGTCCATCCTCTCGAAAAACGCGTATCGAGGTCGAAGAGCGGAATCAGAATCCTTACAATGGCTGCAGAACGCCATCCGAGAATTCCGGCTGGATGGGTCCAGTGACGTCATCGGAAGAGCGATCGTTGCATGGAAACCGCGGCTCCATGCCGTCATCCAGGCCAAAGATAGCGCCCAGCATGCGCCAAGGTCAGTCTCTTCGGATGAGGGTGAGTCTCCTCGGATGAAGATGAGTCTTCTCGGACTCGCGGGATTTTACCAACATTTTACTCGAGGATGTTAAACTCTGATGGCTCAATCGGGATCGAGAAAATTATTTTTAAAAATTAGTATCAAGAGATGAAATGTAGATGCATTCATGTTGGAACATACACAGCTGTGGTTATTACCGATCTTCAGGCACACTGGGCGTCCCAAGCGATTCGCCACAAAAGTAATTGGTAATTTATGAAATGAAGCATGAAGTTTGAAAAGAAAAAATTCTCGCTCGATAGGTGAATAAATGTTTGTTTGCGTATCGTCCTGTGTTCGGTGTGTCCAACCATTTCATCGAGCAACGGTCCAAATACGAAAAGTAAAGTTTGCAACAACTATATGTGCCTGTGGTGTGCGATCCAACCAATGAGGCATTTTGTCTTTCCCCTCCCATCGTGCTTCGTTTCACGAATTCTCTTTACTTCTGTGACGAATCGTTTGGGGCACTCCAAGACCGAAAAGCGCGCCTTTCCCCACGATACGATCGTTTCTCTAAATAAACCGAAGGACGAGAAACCGTACCTAAGTACTGTCCCCCCGAGTCCAAGAGGTAGAGCGAAGAATCGTCGATGGCTCGGTTCGTCTCGTTCGCAGGGGAATAGTGGATGACGGCGCCGTTCGGGCCGAAAGCCGAGATGCTCCCGAAGCTCAAACCCATGTTGTTCGTCTCCGCTCTTCGGTATTTCTCCAGTTCTCTTGCTGCCTTCATCTCGTCCCACGGTTTTCCTTGCTTCACCTGATAAAACGAGTCCATTCTCGGTTCCGAGTCTCTGCCTCTTCACGGTGCTTTTAAGCTCAAAGTAGCTAATAGGTGAATTCCAAATTCGGGGAGTAGAAAAGAGGCTCGTGAGTTTCGATATCGTTCTGCAGAACGATATCGAAGGTGTTACGATTACCGACCGCATGCGGTCGGTAATCGTAACACCTATCACCTTCGTCGGTGAATGGGATTCGCAAATCTCATTTGCCGATTTCAGTCGGTTCGGCGAAATCCATTTGGATTCGCCGAACCGACCGACGTGTGGAGTGCGTACCTCTTTCTCGAGCATTGCGAGAAACCCGATGAGGGCGACGGAGTCCCTCCGATGACTGTTGATCATCCCTTGCACTTCCGTCGGATTTTTTCGAGCCTTCGTGAAGAGGACCGGTGAAGGCTCTTGCACGATCTTTCCCTCTTCGATCTAGGAAGGTCATTCGTGTAAACACACGAATGGAAAAAAAAATCATCGAGAGCCAAAAGTCGATACACAGAAGTTTCTGACCAATTGATGAACGGCGTACGAAGCGCCACCGGAATAACTGTATTTGGACGGGATGAAGACCTTCTCCCAACCGCCCTGAAGGCGTTCCAGCGTTCCGAGGAACTCTTCGTATTTTTGGAGGTAAACGCAATCGCTGGATCTACTGCATTGACTGGTACCCGGTAACAGGTTGAAATGCAGGTAGATCTCCTCCGTCCATCGGTCCTCAGACACGAAGAGGTAGGCCGTCTGCTTGTCCACGATGGCGAATCCGGCGAAGACGGGATTGTTCTTGATGTCGTAACCCCTCAGGTTGTAGAGCCAAGCCACTTCGTCCATCGCCGTCACCACGATCGCATCCACCTTCTTCTCTTCCAAGGTCTTCCTCAGGTCCGCCACCTTTTCCTGCCAGGATTTCCCTACGGGGAAGAGGGATCGTCTGCGATCGTCACGGTCGAAGAGGACCGGATTTCCATCGGGAAAAATTCCGGGAGGGACCAACCTGCAAACTCTATCTTGTGGGCATATATGGGATCCGAAGAGCATTTCGGGCGATCGGACCAAATCTCATCGATCGGGTTCTTCTCCTCCGATTCTAGTAGGATGTCCTCCTCGCCTATTTCGAGCGATTCCGTTTCATTTCCAATCTTTTGGTTTATTTTCTTTTTCTTAGTCGGGACTTGCAATAATAAGTTTGATAATATGACAGATACTACGCTAGCGAGCATAAATTGTTGCCAGGAGGAGACATTTCCATTGCATCGAATACCATGATCGTCGGAGAGGAACTCGTGCTATACAGTAGACAAGGGAATACGACGCGATCGAGTACTTCTAGACAACTTGGTCATTGTCCGCATCGATGAAAACCCTAAATCGGTTAATAGTTTTTTTTTTGCCTCCTATCCATCTCACGATCCTCTTTCACTATGGAATCTCTCTCCTTCCGAAATCCCATCTCTATCCTTATTGTATTATATTTTTAGTTTATTTATTAGCTCAATTTTTTGGGTACTGTCGGAATCGAAAGGCATGCATTCTCACTCAAGGTCTTGCTGAGGGTCATCCATTCATCGGCAGCCATGAGTTTCGGGTCGGCTGCCAATTTGTCACCGGCTACCAATTCCGACTTGAGCCATTCCTCTTTCGTGGGGACCTACGGGATCCATCTCCGTGATTTTCGGCACACCGAGCGCGGAAATCTGACGGTCGTCTCTGGACTCACCCCTTCCATGCCGGACTTCATGAGGAGCCAGTTGCAGTCGAGCTGCTGATCGGCTTGAAGGAAATAGCGTCCGTCGGTCCAGAGAGCGGCCTTCTTCGTCGTGACGATCGCCGTCCCTGCGCTGCCATCGAAGCCGGATATCCACGACCTCCGATCGTGGCATTCCGGACCGTACTCCGCCTGCAGTTCGCATCGAGTCTTACCTCCGTCATCTCATTCGTGGAAGTCGAGGATCAAATAATAAATCATCGATGAAGGAGGACGGTGAAAAAAGCCCTCGACTTCGCTCACCGTGAGGATGCACAAAAAGATACGAGTAAAAAAGTATAGCGGGTGAGGAGAAGAAAAAAACGCGCCGAATTCTTATACCAGGAAATCGATCGTTGCTAAAGTTATGTATGTTCCAGGATGTATACTGGGGCGATGCATCCCGACGAGATGTAAGCCTACATCTCGTCTTCTATAGAGAATTCCTCACTCAGAATTTCAACCCAACTGGTTTAGCCATAGAGGAGCTTTGAAGATTGCGAGTAACACATTTGCAAATCCCCGCTTGCTAGTCTGTTGCCGAAAGGGAATTGCCAGTCCGCTTCATCACATTTCGCGTCGGCGATGATGCCATATAAGGCAGACAGAACGGCGTCGAAGCGTGTTTTCTCCCCGAAAGTGTTCACAGAATCGATCGAAAAAGAGATAGTAGAATGGGAATGGGCCGAATGCTGTCGTCCGGGCTCAAGCACTGTTCCTCATCGTGTCATTTCACTTCAGCCCCTTCACGCATCCATCCCAGTGAGTCTCCTTGTCCTTCGTGCATCCATTCCAGTTAGTCTCTTTGGACGGACGGAGAGTTACAAATATTTTACTGGTGATATTCTAAGTATCAAATACTTCTGTGGCTGAACAGGCTGTGCAATTGGGAAATTCGGGGAAAATTACACGAGGGACAAAATGTAGATGCATCCTGTGGAAGCGAACACAGCTGTAGCTTAGATAGATTTCCTGACATAAACATTCAGACAGAAGCGCATTCCTCCCCCCCACATCTAACATATACACTAAAAAAAACTTTTGGGATCCAAGAACACCTGAGAGCACATCAAAGAAAGCCTAAGAACACATCACGTATGCAAAAACGCGTCCATATGCGTTCTTTGGTGCGCTTCCAGGTGTTTCTACCGAGGGAAATTTCTTTTACAGTGTATGTCGAAGGGTTTTACGGAATTGAATTAAATCGCCCTGAGGGATACACAATATCCATAAACCGATAGATCAGTTTATCGAAATCATCTCAATGTCGCATGAATATACTCTAGAGCGGGGTCTCAAACTCGTTTCGGTGTGCCGAGATCGGACCTCTCTGCGGTCCAAGGTGAAAAAAATTCTGAAGGTTTTCCCTGATTGTGTATAATGGGCCTGAAACGTTTCTCTCTCTCGGTGTACGCAGGTGGGTCGCGGGCCGCATTGAGAACGTTTGCGGGCCACGAGTTTGAGACCCCTGCTCGAGAGTGAATGTGATTTTCCATCGCCTCGATGGAGCGTCATGGAAGATGTGTCTGCCGTCGGTGTTCGTCCGTCTTTACTACCCTCGAGCGTTCTCTTGGCGATTCCCTGGCCCGTCTCGAGTCGAGGACGTCAACGAACCGTCTCCCAAAGAAGCAAAAGGATCCGATTCGGAATGGAGTCCGATTTCGCAGATCCTTCCACGTCGGCTCCACAAAGGGTGTGAGTCTAATCGAGGGCACCTGACGTTACGTCTAAGCCTGAACACATATTTCTGCCTCTGCATTCTCTGTCTTTTCGCCTGCTCTCTGTCCCATCCGAACTTATTTTTTTAATATAAAAGCTCTGGTCGTTTTAGAATTTCGTAGAAGGTAGGACGATGACCGACGGTCGCCAGCGTCGTTCTCATCAAAATGGTTAGCAGGGGCTTCGTCATTTTCCTCGCGATATTGTCCAACTGCGCCAGATGTGCAAGAATTTACGAGGTTGCACTCTCGTCATCTCTGTTATCGATTACGCACTTCCATGTGAATGCAACGGAGCGAATGCAACGAAGGTCGCAACAAACTTCTACCATATCTTATCGTCCAACCATTCCTTGGAGCATGCAGGACAACGACAAGAGATGGGATAATGAGGTTGCGAAACGTGGAAATCTCAAATGATCCCTCGCATTCCATCGCGCATGAAAGCAGCGGCGAATGAGTTTCCCGTCCCGTCGTTAAACTCCTGCATGCAGTGTCTTGAATTCCATACGTTTTTGGGTCACAGATGTTACGGTAAGCCATGTAGGCATTCTGGAAAGATGCACACAGAATCCGATACAAGTTGACGAATTTATCAGGTGGTTACTTAGAGTATGGGTCTCAGGACTTAGAATCTTCGACAAGCAGTACGCTACACCGTGCGGAGAATACAATGAATAAAACATAACCGATAGGGAGCGCCACACCTTCTTCCGAATGGGACTTCTTCGTGTGATGAATGTTTAAAATGCCCACCGTTTTATCGAATGCCGGCGTCCAGGCCACAGCATAGCATTTGCAATCCATATAATAAATCTATATAATAAAATCTACTGTGGTCCGTGATGGTGCTGGTCGGTGGCATGTGCGCTCGCTCGCATGACGCACTCGGACGCACAGCGCGAACGCGTGTGCTCTCCCGTAGCCATAATAAAAAGGTTGACGCAGCGTGGCCAAAGGCAACTAACGTTCGGAAACGTGCGCGACGGGTTGCGATGTCCGCAGAGCGGCGTCAGGCCGCCAATAAGAGCCAACACACCACAACGTCCTGCAAAAGCGACGATTCGAAGTTAACGTCCTGATCTTTGGGCTGCCCTTCGTCTTCGCTCTGCGTCAGTTCCCCGTCCTTTGCCATGACGCTTAACGAAGTGCAGGGGCAGACCTTCGAGAAAATAGGGGTGTTTTTGCCGCGCCCTGTCTTCTCGTATGGCCAGCCAGTGGCGGATCCATTGAGCGGGAGAGGGGGGGGGGGGGGGACCGCAGCCCCCTATGGCCATTCATCACCTTTAAATTCTGCAGGGGCTACTGACTAGTATTTGAAATAGCCAATAGTGTTGGTGTGTTGGTGCGAGGAGAGCTTCCCTCTCGGGTGTTCCGATTTCATAACAACCGGTATGTGTGCCCCAACGGCACGCTTTTCTAGACACTAACAACCGATGTGTCGTGGCTCTCTTTATCATCGGACCCGTGATCCCTCTCCTCGCGGCGTAGCGAACGAACTGCTCCACCGAGATTTAAGGTCGAACGACCCGTCCGCGTCGAGATTTACCCCTCTGGTAGCCAAAGCGATCGGTCGCACCGGGCTAGGTTCATCCGTCGCCGAAAAGAACGTCATTCTGTGAAAGACGAAGGTGGACGAATTCGGTCGATGGAACTCACGAGATGAGGATCGGCGGTCGGAATGAAGAAGGCGTCGTAACGGCCGCTTATTTTACTCCTGAGATCGGCGAGTCGCTGGGTGGTGTTGACCCTGTTGGGCGGCCAGGAGGTGCCATCGGTGCAGTTGGACCTATCCTTCAGGGCCACCTCTCGGATCACCCTTCTCGAGTTTCCATCTTGCACGACCACGTCGGGTCGATACGAGATCACACAACTGCCGACCAGCAGCACGAACGACCCTGCCGAAAAAAAATCATTGCACTCACATTTTGCGACGAAAATTGAGCATCCGTTCGCTCCTCGAGTCGAGCAGAACGAGACGAGACGAGACGATCCTCTGGTCTCGTCTCGCCTCGCCGCGGTTCGATTCGGAACGTGCCGAAGTCACATCGATCGATTCCTAGGTTTGCGGGAACGCTTGAGGCCGGAGTCCCTCGGAGCGTTCCTTCTGTCGCATCAATTCGTCCATCGACTCCAAATCTCGATGCAGCTCATCATTTAGATGAACTACATTGACAAAATTTCATTAATCGGAAATTCATCCACGAAGAAGAGTAAAAAGCTATCACGGAAATAAATTTTCTATGGGAACAGTTTTGAGGGTGAGCAAGATTTATTTCTGAAAGGTGGCTCTGCCTATCTAGTAGGATCTCGGCCAGCCAGTATTTTTTCACTGTAGTGAGAGAAATTCCTCTTGGAATTTCAACCTCTTCCCGCTGTCTGTTATGGGATAAAGGAGTAGAGACGCCAGTTCACAGACGGTGACGAGTTTTGAAGAGTTTCTGGACGAGCTTGGTATTTTGCATTTGCAAATTTGCGAAGTATGAATCCCTGACGTATATTTTTTAGGTGGCAGAAAAGGCGGAATAGTCCAGAAATAGGCGTCCGTGTACGAACTGGCGCCTCTATCTCTACCCTCGACGGGTAGGGAATAGGAATGGATTACCAATTGTCATTCTGCGCAATCCGACAGAACCATCTGGGTGGTTCAGTCACATGCAAAGAAAAGGCCGCCTTGTGAAGACACCCTGTCATCTCGTGCAACATGAAGGTTACTATGCATTTAAAAAATGGGCTCCTTCAGCTCTGACAACCGTGTTTGAAAAACACGATGGCACTTGATGTGATTCTCTGTCGCAATTACGACATGAAGTTCGACGTGAGTTCCTTCAGTTGAGGTCACATTCTCCACCGATTTCAACGTTTCGCGAATTCGCCGAGCTATCGGGACGGTAATCTCCACTTCGTAACAGAGCTTCTTCTGTCCGTGTGAGTTCGTGTGAGCGAGCTTTGTTCTGAAGGGAAAATACCATCCCGAATGCATGCGTGTCTATCGTTCAAGATTGATACAGTGCGTGGTCGGATTGCAGTTCAAAGAACCGGCTGCCAGCACGTCGATTGGCACAGAAAATCGAACAAAATACAGGCAACTTTTTTCAAGTACGAGTAATACCATAGCCTATTGCATGATTTCCTGGTAAAAAAAAAAATAATAATAAATAATAATAATATATTTTTCATGCAAGATGAAGCCCCCTGTGATAAACGCAGAAGTGCGATGAGACTTACGATGGCCAAAATATTTTCATGGACTAAAAATTTCTTGAGTTCAGTTCAATTGAGGCATGTGGGAGTTGCCGAGGTGTCAGGCGAGAAGGTTACTTCCACTTTCGCCCCAGTGGAATCTAGCCGCTGCCTCTCGATGGAAAGCGATTCCAAAATGTTACTTAATATTTGTCCTCGATGCCGTGAGAGCGAAAGTGCATGGGTGCGACTTTTCGCACTTCATAGGTGGCAGATAGGACGAATCGTGCCTGCATGTTTGCCTCGAGCAGTGAATGAGTTATACAAGGTTAGATTTCGGCTTCACATTCGTGGGGAGATGGATGGAGAGGAATAAGTAAGAATTGACAGAAACTCAGAGGGGGAAAAAGAAGTGAGTCCTGCAGGATACGTCTACAGATGCCATGGAGAGCGCAAGGGTGTGCTATGAACAAGGTCGATTTCGAGTTGGAGCTATGATGGACGATGGACGATGAGAACAAAGTGGGGGGGGGGGCGTGTCTGGACGACACTCCATGAAGAGAACGAAGGCAAGGTGGATTTGGAAACGGAGATTAGTGAGAGGCGCAGTGCTGCCCCACGTAGCATAGAGTTTGAGACCCAGGGGGTCTCAAACTCGTTTCGGTGCGCGGGTCGCATCGTCAAGATCGGACCTCTCTGCGGACCAAAGTGAAAAAAGCCTGAAGGTTTTCACTGATTGTGTGTAATGGGCTTGAACCGTTTCTCTCTCGGTGTACGCAAGTGGGTCGCGGGCCGCATTGAGAGCGTTTGCGGGCCGCATGCGGCCCGCGGACCACGAGTTTGAGACCCCTGCTCTAACCTATCGTCATTCTCAAAAGAACCGTTAGAATATGTTTGAAAGAGAGGCGTCGATATCCAGATCCTGAGTCACGTAGTCACGAATATCCCCTACCAGTCTTTCCCTATCAACCAAGTTTGATCTCACGGAATTGTTTGGATTTTTTGCGGCTATTTACGGTTTTTCTTTTTGTAAGTACAAGCTGGTACCGTTTTCTCTTTACACCATAATGTAAAGATGTCTCGTAAAGATTTATGTCTGATGATAGCACTTCTTCCCGTCACCACGTAAAGCTGTTAGAAATTCGACCCTGCGTACTTTCACCCTGCTTATCGCGATAAGACAAACGTGCAAATTGAGCAACGGCCTATCGAATTATGGGGTGGACAAAGGAAAGCTCCATCAAATCCTATCGAAGAATTGTCACATGGGAAAAATTCAAGTTGAAAATCATTATTTACCGATGGTATTTTTTCTACGACCAAAGAGAACATGCAAATCATAGTGACATGCTGTAGAAATTTAATTTGCTGAAAATGCAGAACCAGAGAATGTTCTAGGATCGAAGCTTCTGGTTCCCAACGGAAAGTTTCCGTCACACAGTTGGAACTACCATCACCCTTCGGCTGGATGCGTTTCAAAATGTTCCTATCTCCCTTTTCGATTCAACAAGAATGAGTTTTCTCGACGTGTCTCCTCCCGATCATTTTCTCTAGAAGTATCCCAAGGAGCGGATTTGTACACCCCGAGGTCCCAGAACAGCAGTGGAAGCAAAACATCCAGAAGGAAACGAGGAATATTCAGTAAATAATGCTCCAGAACGTGATTGAAAGCATCAGCAACAGAGCGCGAGAGTTGAAACGAAGCACTCAGATCATCGTTTTAATGTCATGCGCATCCAATCGTTTCAAAGACGACACGAAAGCATTACGTTCCTGATTCCCATTTCCCCGCATCTTTATGTATGCGAAGATGTTTTCTACTGAATCGATTCATAATCGTTGTATATGCTTCGGATTGAGTCTAGCCATCAATCTCTCCACATGAAGGTGTCTTCCCGAGCGTGGAATTCACTCTGTCATGGATGTTGTGAATTTGGTGCTCGCATCGGACTGATACGTCGGTGGTGACGCGGAGTACGCCCAGCCTCAACTCAAATGTCTCCGATAAACAGCAATATCATTTATGCGTTAACGCCTCCTTTATTTTGGTTGTTTGCTCGTTATATTAGTTTTAATCACGCTTAAGATAAGAAAAACAAAGCCTAACGAACGCTTGAATGCGAGTATTCTTTTTTATAGAATATTTCATGCAATTTTTTTTCCAAAAGCTTTTCTTCAGGGCCATTATTCTTCCAGAGGGATCGCTAAAGCGTTTTTTTCCGTCCATCCTTAGTGGTTGGAAGGAATCCACGGAGACGAGATAGGAAGACACGAGTGAGAATGCGGGGGAGGAGGAGGAGGGCCTCACGCGGTCTTCCGGTTGTCTTTCAGGGAAGCATAATCTCATTGAAGCTCTCACACTTCGTCCGCTTTCTCCGCACTCCTTGCTTTTTTCAATGAATAATTGCACAAACTTCCCATATTAGTGGTCTTCTACGTCAATATTTTCAAAATGCTGAGTAAATTACAAAGTATGCTTATAATTTGGCCAGCCACATCCCGTACGCCAGTGTTGTTCGATCGTTAGGGCTGAATGGGGAAAGGAACTGGCCAAAGGCTTCTCCTCCATTTTGCCTCTTCGTGGTGGCATCGTACGAGAAAGGTTAACGGACCTTTTTTTTGCCTCTAGTACGTTCCTCTTCTTAACGACCGATGAAATCTGCCGCAGCAAGGACGAGGTCGCAACCTTGTACCGTTCTTTCATCGTGGCAACTGATTGGAAGTGAAACCCCACCCCAGCCCCACATGCTTCTTTTTTTGCTTCTCCATTAAAAGCGGTGCCAAGACAAACACGGAGAGCTTTAAACAAAAGACACCTCCCTCCTCCTCATCTTCGCTTCCGATGAGATTTTCCCGTCCTGCGAACGACCCCCTATATCTTCCTCAATGGGACCAAAAAAAAAAAGAATTATCTCGGTTCTTGCTGTCATGAAGTGGCCTCTTTTCTCCCGGATTACGAATGACTGGGGAGGAGGAAAAAAAAAGGAGGTCTTCGTAGCTTCCCACCTGTCACTTGGGTGCCAACTGTCCGTGCCAGACGTTCGTTAGACGTTCATCCAGGGTCGAACAAGAGAGAGAGAGAGAGAGATCATGTCGTTGGCTTTTCCTCATGATGATCTGATTTATGGCGACCCGGTTTATGAGCAATGCTTGCGAAAGATGCATGCGGGATGAGGGATTAAAAAAAAATTGCGAGGTTATCCACATGCCGATAGTCCTGGCATCCAGGAACTGGGATTTATTGCCTTCTGAGGAAGTCATGAACCGCAGAGAAATAAATACCTCTCGTGGCATTCGAGTTCAAGCCGAAGATCGTTCAGAAAAAAAAGAAAAAAAAGGGGACTTCTCCCGCCTCCAAGCGATCCTGTTCTTTGATTACAACACGAATGAAAATAATGGAAAATCCATTTTCGTCCATTCCTCCTTTGCAGAAACACTTTCTCGTCCGACAGCCCTTTTCCCCCCATCTCAATCACTATCTCTAGCACGCACGACATGTGTAACATCCATAAGAATGAATGTTTGAACTCGTGTAGCCCATCAATTACGTTCGTGATGAGCTTGTAGCTAGGCTGAAAGTGAAGAATGGAGCGATTCGCATGCCAGGAAGTTCCAATCAGTCTAGGTGTCTATGGCTCATAAGGAAATGTTGGCAGAAAGCCCGGGTCACGTGACGAATAAGACTTTGTAGTCTATTGCAGAGCGTCTTGATTGATGACTTGGACACAGGTGCACCCACCTGTCACTCCGAATCTTTTCTCAACGGGTTGGACTGTAGTCACACGAGGAACTGAAAAGGGCAGAATTACAAAGGGGAACGAAAGGGCAGGGTTACAAAGGAGAATCTTTAAAAGGGCAGGATTACAAAGGGGAACAGCGATGCCTTGCTGTCATTGACAGCTTCCACGTTTCTCATCCTAATTACCTTAAGAGTTTGCGGTCGACACAAAACGACGAAACACGATTCGGCGAAGAGAAAAAAAGTTTTTAGGGCCCAGTTCCTTTCCCAGAATAATTCACAGTTCCATCTGCAGAATATGAATGGATAAAATTGGACGAAAGCATGTATGCAATATTCTTGCAGGATCGTTCGAGCGTCATTCGAAGGCAGAAGGGGGTCAAGCTTTTCCTCTCGACTGAATCGATATTCCACGAAGCTCCAGGCTCGACCTTCATAACGTTTGGAGAGGGCAAATCATGATGGATTTCGGATGACGGTTACGCAAATCAATTAGAAATGCATTCATAACAGACGTACTTGGGAGGGAGAGAGGGGGGGAGGGGGGAGGGAGGAGGAGAGGGGGAGAGGGGGTGTGGGAGGGTAGGGGATTTTACTTTCTTTTCCCCATTAATGACACGTGACGGGTTCGCAGGGAAGCGTGGATAATCCCACCCGACAGAGACCTTTCCGTCTCCTAATGTCGCATACCATTTCCCTCAAGACCCATTCTCTTCACACCCTCTTCACAGTCGCAGAAAGTTTCAAACACACGCATGTCACCGATTTTGAAAAGTTTATCACGTCGAGGAAAGCATCGAGAGCACGAAGGAAACGTAGAAAAGGTGCGAGACGGACAGAATAAAGTAATAGTTTTGGTGAACAGATTTTTAAATATTCCATCTGCACTTCTGAGCTTTCGCTTCTATTTATCCAACTGCTCAATATTATATATAACGATGGGGTCTCCGTTCACTTTTTCATTCACGAGATACACTCTTTTATTATTATTATTAGTGGAAATGTATATTTAACAGCATAAGTCACCCAAAATCCGAAACAGGAGTTAGGTAAAATGCGAGGGAAATATATATTTGCAGCTGTTTTGAATTAAAAGAATGAAGATGCCAGTATTTTTTGTTGTTGTTTATAGTACTGTTTACTCGAAGAGAGGCACTATCGCAATTTCTTGGTCGTAATCCAGGCCCGATGGGGATTAGGGGATGGATACTCGATTGAGAACAAACTGCCGTGACAAATCCCTAATAATCTTTTTACGATCACGTCATGGACGATGTGGCATTCGTCCAAGTACGACCTTTCGTGTAGGGAAGGCCTAGGACGAGCAAGTTGAAGGTGATGAATGAATATGGGTCTGCGAACATCCATCAGACGCGTCGGACCGGCATTCGGGCAGGAAGGAAGGAAACATGCTCGACTTGAAGATGCAAGTGAATAATGCCATTCCAAAACGATGGGATGCCTCCTGGGCTCTCTCTACCGTATGGAAAGGAACCACCCCCTTTTCCTTCCCTCCCTTCATGGAAAGACGGAACTAGATCCTGCTGCGTCTTCTTTTTTCCCTTCGTAGGCGAAATTTTAACGAGCATGACCGGTCGGTCAGCATGCTTTCACACCTGGAACTTCTGCTTCGCTTTCATTGCTCAACTTTCTCACGTTTTGCACACGAGGGCGAACATCTCGGAACAGAAAGGAGTCAATTCCACTGTGCGTTTTGCACCCGACGTCTACGCAGACATTCGTCTGTGTAAAGTACTGAAATCGATACCTTTTCATGAGCTACGCAAATAAAATAAATAAAGAAATTCAGCAAATCACATTCAGTGCTGATGCAACACCACTATCGTGAAAATTGCATGGGCAAAAGTCCAATGAATAAATGCAGATCCGATAAAAGAATATTTAACTTAGAGGCATCGCGGATGAATGTTTCCAAAAGCAAGATGATTGATAAAGTTCACCGTTCCGACAAATTACTTCCGAAGTCTCATCGCGGCCGACTCGGAGCGTTCCGGAGAGAACGAGATCGAGCGGTCGAGTGGACGATAGTGCAAAAGATAGGAAGCGAGACTCTTTTCGGCGGTACTGAAAGGTGCCGATGTAGGCCTATGCAGGAGACGTAGCGAAAGGGATCTCACCGAAGAAAAGCAGGAGGAGGAGGTTCGAGGTCGGATTCATCGTGTAAACTGTGCAGACGGGAGGCAGAGACGTAAACGAACGTTATCTCCACACTCACTCCACTGTACCAGAGCCACGAGGAGCGAATGAGAGCCCCGTGTCTCTCTTCTCTCTCTCTCTCTCTCTCTCACTCACTGAAATCCTGCCAACCAATTTCATCCCAAGGCCATCATATTTTTGGCCAGTTCTTCCTTGCCGAAAACTTCTCTGCCCTCGTTTCACGGTTGAAAAGGGATGTGTCGACGAACCTCGATCGTTCCGCGTTTCTGGACTCGAGTTTTCTTTCCCGATGAGAGATTCTGCATGTAAAACCGAATATTAACTCCGCGATCGCTGGAAAATGATCCATCACGAACGAAGTGCTCGGTAACTGTAAGGTCAGTCACTCGCCAGGAACGGACAGACTAGACCTACGGAAAGGTTCCCGATTCTGGAACCGACGGATCTTGCCACAAATGCCACCGAACCGTTAATACCATCTTTGATGGTTTCATTCGCTATAATGTTTTACCGTTCACCTGTGGGAGAACGAAACATTAATGGCGGTGAAGGCGATGAACCTGCGATGGAACCGAGACGACTCGATCTCAGAAAATTATGCTTTTTCGCAAGAAAAGTCGAGGGTGACCATTTTCTTGCGGAGTTTCGACGACAGCGTTTTTCTGCCGGAGACGCGATGGATCGTTGACGAGATGGCTTCGTTTTCACCGATGACCTCGTTCTCCCCCGATGACCTCTTTCTCCCCCGATGGCCTCGTCTCCTTCGGTCGTCCGTCGAGGTGTTCTTTATTGTTCTGGTCCCAGTCTCTCCATCCTCCACGACGTGATCCTCGGCTTCTTATGCGACCGAGGAGTCGAGCGCGGAGAGGAAGACGAGTTCCACCCGAACGTCGACGGAGCCGAGAGAAGGTGAGCACGAAATGCTTCAACTTCCCCCGTCGGTCTCGCTCTCTTCTCCTTCTTCCCCGCCCGGCCGTGCTTCTGGTTCGTTTCTTCGAACTGTTGGACCCCGAGGGTCGCTTGCTGGAGTCGGAAACCCTTCGGTATCGCCTTCGGTTTCCCTGCCTCGTCGATGCTCGGCAGGTCCGTCTCGAAACCGGTGCTTCCGCGTCGGACCGCCGCGAACTTTCCTTGCGGTCCTTCGAGATTTTTCCGCAACGACTACGAGGAAGATATCACGCTCCAAGAAAACGTCGCACACACTAGGCCGTGGAGAAAAGGAAAAGAGATCGATCGGAAGAGGACCGGACTGCCGGTGCGAAACCACGACGCCGGATGAGTTTTGGAAACGGGGAATCCATGTTCGTCCCGTCGAGGGACGATGGGTCCGATCGCCGATCGCACGACGCATCACGAGCTTCGAATGAGAGTCGACAGCGAAGAGCCAGACGCGAATGAGACCAATGGATGGCAAAGGGGGAATCTGGTTCGAATCTCTGCCTCATCGACGGAAGGAAAAAGAAAAACAGGACGAAAGAATCCGAAAAGATTCAAACCGCAAATAATGATGTTCCTCCGTGTGCCCACGCAGTTCAGAGAATAGGTCAGGTGAGTCTCTGGGATACCCACGCCAGCCTGGGGGAGGGGAGGGGGGGGGGGGGGGGGGGGAGATACCCACCCCAGCCTGGGGGGGGGGGGGGGGGGGGGGGGCATGTAGCAGACGGGGTCATTTATGTCCATTCCAGTTCTTCAGCATTTCTATCCAGTTTATTGTTTTCTCCCTCTGTCCTGTTTTTGGAAAGGGATGGAGGAGGGAGGGTCCAAACCCCATTGGCTCTCCCCATCTCGGGTCATATTCCAGAGTTTTGGTAATAGGTTGTAGGCTATAAATAGTTTAGGTCAGGTTGGTTCATGGTCTTCCCGAGGAACTAGGATGACAGATGATAGTGTGCCAGGCTCCAGCACATCGATCGCCCCGTCGAGACCATTCATACCTCCCCAATGTACAGCTACAGAAGCAACGTCGACGATATCGCATTGCGATTCTTAGTCTAGAACGCGCAATCGTGACTATAATTCTACGTCTTCTCCTGTAACCCAGAGCCACGTGCAGACTTGAGTGATGGTGTTTCCTTTTCCTTACATTTCTCTCCACGACGTTATCCCCACCGAACACCACCTTCCCCGATCATCCCTTCGGAATGGGGTTTGGACCCTCCCTCCTCCATCCCTTTCCAAAAACAGGACAGAGGGAGAAAACAATAAACTGGATAGAAATGCTGAAGAACTGGAATGGACATAAATGACCCCGTCTACCCCCCCCCCCCCCCCCCCCCCCCGCCCCCTCCCCTCTTGTGGGCACCCCTGGGGCCCGTTCCCCACCTCTGCTAAACTTGAATCTAAATCTAAATCTAAATCTTATGCTAAATCTTAGTCGAAAGGGTCAGGGCGAAGAATAGACTTTTTGCTTTTAGCCTGTTTCTAGATTTAGATTTAGATTGAAGTTTAGCAGAGGCGAGGAACAGGCCCCTGGTGTGCCTACCGATCCAACCTCTACCACGAAGTGGGCAGCGTCTCCAGCGTCGAAGGCACTTCGTCCTCGTCTCGGTCCGCGTTCTATTCTCATATCAGGCGATTCGATGGCACCATCGAGCGAGTAAAACTCGCGTATTCTTTTACTTCGGAGCGTCATGGTAAACAACAGGAAACAACAGATCGGCTTCTCGATGATAGATACGAGGAAGCTACTAGGTTCTCGGCCGAGAGTCTTCGGTTCTTTTCGAGGTTCAAGGTTCGCGTTTGATACGAGGGGACACTTCTACTAGTATCGATATTTTGTGTCGAGGCCAAGCATTCCATAGATATGCCTACGTTCCGTCTTTTGGTCTCTAGAGAATATTAGTGGGAGCAATCGTGGTGCTCGAAGATAGGGAATAAATTATTTTCCCCACCGAAAGTGGCATCGAGTGAGCATTGTCGTTCGGCATGACAAGCAACAGGTCAGTGACTAACCACTCGGTTGCAAGCAGAGCGGTTAAAAAAGATCGGAATCCAGCCGACGGTCTCCGAGGTAAAATCGTGGCACGAAGAGGACAAGCACCACAAATCGTTTTCGACCAACTTTCGCTGGCATCCCCTTTCGTCGAAATGTCTTATGCATTAAACTAGCATCGCGCTTCAAAACATGAGGAATTTGAAGGAATTGTGCAGGTCTATGCCGAGAGAAAGGCGCTGGAGATGCACGCAAACAAACGTAACAGCACAAGAGCAAAGTGACGGGTGACGCTCGGTACAGACTTGATGGAACTTCTGTGCCATCGTTCTATCCGCTCGATTCAAGCATGCCAGAGGAGGCAGAACGATGCTTTCAGGCGTGTAAAAGAAAAACAAACAAAAACACAATCCATAGTTGTCCAACATTCTTCTTTCCTACTGCACTTTTTGCAAAGTTCCTCGAGGTCTTATTAATTTGGCAGCCACTTCTGATCACTTTTATACATTTTTCCCATGAGAGACTCTAACCTCCTGTTAAATATATTCTCGGAAGGCAAAAGTGACTACACTTGAACGCGTTCCGCGCATCCACTACCTCAAGAGAAGCCATTTTGTGACTTCAGTCTGGAACAGGGTATGAATTGG